CAAATAAACGCCCTGGCGATAAAAACGCGGATCAAACCGCAGAAGGCGAGAATGTATGCAGCGCTCATGAGAACGAAGGCCTTCTCTACTACTGCTCTGACTGCGACGCCCTTGCTTGCATGGTCTGCGTGTTGCATTGTCACACGGGTTGCAATGTGTACCACGTAAGCGTCGCTCGCGACGAAGAAGAAAAGAAACTAGACCAACTGGCAGAAAATGCCCACATCATTCGAGTTTACACGGAGAAGGAGTTGCAGAGCACTAAGAAGAAGATTGACGAACTGCGAATGGAGGAGAGAAAGATAATGGAGCACTTGGAACACTGGCAGGGAAAGTTGGAAGAAACGACGGCGGAATTAAAGAGTGTGGAGGTTTCTCATGTGTGCCTTGGTGAGTTATTGCTGTTTTGTCATGCCTTTTTTGTTTAAAATTTATACAAATTAATTTATCTCAGGCATTTTTTTCGTCATATGTTTTTACTGCTTCCAAAACCCAACAAGCTTGTAATATCTTTGATGAAAATTTAATGAAAGAGTTATTTATAGACGATAGACGATCATTAATTTATAATTTATATATGGGTTTAAAAAGACATAGTTAAACATAAGTACAATGTGGACTTTTATATGTCTTGTGATTAAGATGAAGATATAAAATAATTGGTATCACAAAAAGAAAACCTTAAATTATTTTCCTTCATGAATTTAATTTCTGCAGAGAACGAATTTTCGGAAATCGTGACCACGCTGGACGGAGTGGCCATAAAGGAGATTACAGACAAAATGGAGTTTTTAAGCAACTTGAGAGACGTGAAAAGAAATCTAGCCAAGTTCTCTGTCATACCATCGGTGATAATGGAAGCAATCAAAATCGAAAGTGATCTGGCTGAAAAAGAAACTGCCTCAGCAGCAAGCATGCTCGATACGATTCCTGAAGAGGATGAGGAAGCCAATATCTCCGAATTCGACAATGATTCCAAGATGGCAGGTGCTACGCCTTCAAGAGCCGCTGAGCAGAATACAAACAACAACAGTGCTGAAAACAGGCGCAGCTTAAACTCATCTGGACACTGTCCACTTCAGTATGATGTGCCTGTCGCAGCAGAACCCGAGTCAAGTGATCAAGACAAGGCTGGAAGAACGACGCACGCGCAAGAACATTTTCAAGCACAGACAGAACCATTGGTCGGTGCAGTTGGGGGAAAGGTTTGTCACCATGCTACGGAGAGCGAAAATGACATCTTCCTATCAGAGTTCGAACAGGGCGCGGAAAATAAAACCAATAACATAAATAATTTTTCTTTAGCTGGTGAATTCCTTTATGAAAAAGTGATTCAAAAGTCTGAGGAGAACCGCGGGGTCGGAGAACTTTCTCTCGAAACGCAAGAATTGGTAGGGGCCGAAGGTGGAATTGTGGAATCTCACGTTAAAGAAAACGAAAGCGAAAGTTGCACGACACAGAGAGCGAAAGTAAAACGGAAGCGCAGGAAGAACAGTGTGGATGAAAGGGAGAATGGCGATTCTGCATCGAATTTGACTCTTCAGTCGTTTGGCGAACAAAGTCACCATGGCAACATGAATAACGCAGGAGATCGCACCCACTCTGAAAGAGAGCGGAGCTTGGCATCTGGAGGAACAGACGTCAGTCGCGCCGATGCACAGTTACTGTCTAATACGGGCCAGGTGAACTCATTGCGAGAGGCATCAGGTGGAACATCTCTTCAAGAGGCGGCAGCAAACGAAAGCGAGAGTGTACCTTCTCAAAATAACAACAGGCAGAACGGATACAGTAGCAGCAACAATAACAATACTTTAGTGCCTGCCTCTGGTGAATCAACATGCACGGGACGGGGTTCAAATGACAACCATAATGCCCCAGTCGGTGAGACACGTCCACAGCGACAGCAACAGAATCAAAATAACGCGGGGGGTCCAGTGCATGCGCAGGGCCGAGCTCGCAGGGGCCGAGGCTTCAGCTACCACTGCGACATCCGCGCCGAGTCTATTCGTTTGCGAGAGATGCAGCAGGCAAAAGCAGCACGGGAAGCAAAGGAAGCGAGGAGAATGCCATACCATCATGACATTGAAAACGAAAACAGAAGCGACAGCAATAACTGGCTTGTTCACTGGACGAGAAGATTTTAGACCTTGGTCAATTTGGGATGGGATAATAGAATGGACTTGATGCCGGATCACTGCCAGGGATAATACACTATACTTGTAACTCTGGTTGAATCGTTATAGATAAATCAAGAAAATGAATGACAACATCAGAAAAGTTTAATTTGATTTTTGCCGGACTTCACACGTGAAATATTTGTATCTTAAATCAATTTGCAAAATTATTAACTCTTTATAGTCTGTAATGAAAACAATATTTTTATCATTTTTTTCTTTGCTTTGATACTCAATTTTCTATAAGTGGACTACAATTCTGTTACATCGATCAATTTTATTGTGATACTTGCGTTTTGATAGTGTCTACCTTTGGATGTAGCGGGACTGCCTTTTGTCTTTCTTTTTTTCAAAAATTTAAGCTCTTTTATAACTGTTTAAGGGAGGCGTTAGTATATGTATATATACATGTTTAGACATGCCCAACATATGCAGTTTTTCAATTATTCATTCAAATGAAAACAATCATTATCTGGGAATCGTCTTCATATTTACTGGCACATTGACAGCCGTACATCCACTTCTGATAGTATAATACCTACCCTTTATCGTTTTAATTTAGTTTTAATGAATATCACCCTTCATCTTAAGTTAATAGCAGCACTGCGTATTTGTTTTGATCTGCGAATTTTGTTATTGTTTCGTAAGTTCATGCTCGTGTGACTGAAATACCCACTCCCAGATATTTTAAAAACATTTTGCTCTCTCTCTCTCTCTCTCTCTCCCTCTCTCTCTCTCTCTCTCTCTCTCTGTTGGGGGGGGGGGAGGGGGGCTTCTCCCAGTCTATCAGAGACTCCTACATTTCCTCTGGACAGTCATTTTTAGCCGGTGACCCACGTAGATCGTGGGTCCAAGCTACGTTGTATATGTGTGTGGTTGAGCTTTCGAAGGTGGTACTAATGTACAAATTAAATGATCGACCTGCTTGCGTGTCAATGCATTCAGTATACATGTACAGTAGACCATAATGGCTGTGCCTACCCAGCATCGCCACATTTTTTTCTCATCATACTGTAAAATACCACTTTGGGTATTTTATGATTGTTATAAATAATTAATTAAAATAATATTCATATCCTAAGATAAGCTTAGCAGGGGGCAGTCAATAGACATTCGGGAATGATCGTGACCGGGGCACATGGCACGAGATAAAATTTAGAAATGCCTTTGAAGGCTAGGGCGGATAATGGTGATCCAGGAAACACGGTGACTGAGTTGGGGCAAAGCCTGAGACAAAAGGACTGCGCTCAGTCAAGTGTTATTTCTTCCTGGTTATTAAAATTCCTGAATGATCTATAAAGGCTGCCCTGTTTTAAGGTGAAATCATATCGTATTTTGGCTCTGGCGATATCATTATACATTTTGGACTGACAGTTACTATGTAGAAGAAACCTCTGTATATTTTCCAAAAGACAGTATTAAATTTCCACTTGCATCAAATGAGAATCTTGTTCGTTTTACTGGATCAGCTGGGCGCACAACACTAAGGCCCAAGAACCGGCGCGTTATCTAACGTGACATTATTTTCTCGTAAAGTCTAACCGACGAAGATTGAGACTTAACAATTGGCGAGCTCTTTTCAGGACTTAATTTTTAGCGATCTAACAAAATGAATCCAGATTCTCTTCAGCAACTGTCTGCCGGAGTTGCAGCTTTGGCTAAAACAACGGTGCAGGCGCACCAGGAAGATGGGCAGTGGAGACATTAAATGCAGGAAAAATGGCGAACGGAAGATGCTCGAAATGCGCGGAACGCATGAAAATAAAGGGCGAGCACCAGACGAAATTGGACGTACTGTGCAGGACTATCAAACCCTGTGATGGGTCCATTCCGGACGACCCGAGAGACTGAGCTGACCAAATTAAACGAACAATTCCCCGGACGGAGGAAATTGAACACGCCACAATTTAATTGGCACTGCATACATCAGGCAGGTGAGATTAATAATTTCTTAAATCAACAACCAGAGTATTTTGGAATGGACTGGGAGGTGCTACGAACAACCAACGCCCTGGAGGAGCCAATGGAAATCGGGGGCAACACAACCTGCGGACCAAGTACCACGATGGGCTACAGAATTAAAAGAGTCGATCTTATCTGCGTTGAAAAGCGCAGCTTAACGCGAGCCACAGATGACGTCATCCAACACAAGACAGCACCCACGCAAATCGCCACAATCGTTGAAGGACAGTAAGGGGTGGACGGCGGACGGACAGATAAAATGTTAATTTTCATTGTGGTTAAGTACCTGTAGGTCATGTATAGGCAGAATGTTACCAACTCAAAGCTTTATGTTAGAAATAGCAACCTTTTGACCATTTAAACTAGTTCAAACAGAGAGGAGTAAGAAGGCTCGTATGGGGGTTAGTGTATCTTTAAATGGGGAAACTTGCTTAGCATCAGTTGACACGGGCGCTAGTACCTCTCTGCTTTATTACTCTGTGTTTAAGAAATTATGTGCGATGACTGGTAGACTAGACATATATGTAAATTAGTAAAAAAGTACACAATCCGTCATTAGTATGACAGATCACTTACAGTGGTAGGAACAGCTCAATAGAATTATGCTCCAGGGCCTTAATCACCGGGCAGGTGAAACATAGGCGGGCATGCGAAATAGAATTAACTAGGTATGTACAGTCGCAGGCAGTAGAGTTAGCATTAGGGGATTACGCGCTTACCACTTCGGGGGAAACAACATATACACGGTGTCCACGGTCACCTGCTGTGTCACATACCCTATGGCCAGGGGTTTACATGATACATGTAGGTGACGGCTGTTCCGTAACGGCCACCAACTTCACACTACCGGGTTTAAAACGACGGATGGGCAAAGTAAGCGTTAAGGCACTCATGGTAAATGATATAAAACCTTTGCAGGTACAAAATATTATTCCGGCTAGCGTAGCTTTGCACATCATGAAACCTGACGAATTAACACCTTTACAACCAGTTAAACGTATATTGCTCACTCCGATAAGCGATGAACCGAATCCCTTTTCGATATTTTTTGCTAACAAATTTAGGCGATNTACCGTAAGTTGTCATCAATTCATATTATTTAAGTATGGTTTCTATTATACTATGATGGCCATACATGTACTGAGGGGAACAAGACTGGTACTCAGCCAAACCATTGTCAGAAGATTTTAACATGTAGTTTATTGGGAAAAAAAACATATCATTTTTGAATGAGAAGTTTAAGACAACATTCTATATCATTTTATTTTAGCAAATGAGGACACAGTCATCCAACATCCAAAGCCTCCAGAGTTTAAGCTCTCAGCTTCAGCAACAACTAGCCCAAACCCCCAAATTTCCAATCAAGAAAGAGTATAAAGGTAATGTAAAGTTTAAATGAAATATCATCATTCTGATGTATCTTAATTCAATAGTCTTCAACAAAATATCCCTGAAAAAATTATACAAAAAACAATCAAGGTAAATGTGGAGTATTCACTAGTATAACCATAGTGACTGTGAATTCCCAAATTTACCTAATATAGCAAAATAATAAGTAAAGATGAACCAATTTTAAGAAATCTGTAACAAAATTTCACTTTACTAGTACCTTGAAAAGGAGACAAAACCAGACCAGTTTGTGTCAAGAATAACACAATACTATTAACATTACCTTCCTTTACAGATTGTTCTGAATACAGACTAGATGGTTATAAAGACACAGGTTTATATAACATCACACTGAGCCACGCCCTGTCTCATAACACAGTGTGGTGTGACATGACCACTGACAATGGAGGATGGACGCTGATACAAAGAAGACAAGATGGTTCCGTTTACTTTTATCGTGACTGGGCAGAGTACAAGAACGGTTTTGGTAACATCGATGGTGAATTCTGGCTTGGGAATGACAACATCCACTATCTGACCAATCAGAAAGATTACAGGCTACGTGTTGATTTGTGGGACTTTGAAGGCAATCATCGTCATGCTGAATATGATGACTTCAAGGTTGACGATGAAAAGGCAAAATACCTGCTGCATTTTGGGAAGTACAATGGTACTGCTGGTGATTCCCTCAAAGACAACAACAACATGAAATTCAGTACAAAGTACCAGGACAATGATAACTGGAGCGGAAACTGTGTACAGGATCGAAAAGGTGCATTCTGGATGAATCAATGCCAAGCTTTCAACCCAAATGGTATATATCACTTTGATCCAAAGTACAATGCTCATGATGCCATTTGGTGGTATAGTTGGAAAGGAACCTATGCTTTAAAGAAAGTTGAAATGAAGGTCCGCCCTATGCTGTTTCACAGATTTTAGATATACTTAAAGAAATAAAACTTTTTATGAACAATGTCTCCTTGGAATTATAATACAATCATGATATATGTTATGTAAAAATGTGATAAAAATAAGTTGAAAGAACTATAATAACAAAGTTATCTGAAAAGACTCGCTAATTCATTTTTTCATTAAATTATATCAATAGAGAAAGAAAAAGCAGAAAAATTACAAAATGGCAAGTGACTTTAATCACGTACTAGCAATAAAACAAGTAGAGAGTGAGAGTTATGATACTCAGTATGCAATTCATTCCACCATCTAAGACCCCCCTTCCCCATTGTATAATTACCATCATACTTATCACTGATTTTCCTACAACACCCTGAATATGCTTAAGACCTTTGGAGAATGACAACAGGTGCCTGATGGACACTCTATGGTCTTAGTATTTGGCCAGGTGGTGGTCTGTTCCCTAAAAAAACTCAAGTTGACTATCTATGTAATGTAAGCAGTCTAAGCTAAGCCCCCAAACTTTACACTCTTTGAGGGGCAGGCCCTAAGGGTCATAGAATCAAACCTAAGGTGACCTCTGGACCACCAAGGTCATCTGGGCAGGTGAATAAATCTGACAAAAGATAACCTTCTCAGATCAGTCTATCTATAAGGTTGACATAGCAGAGAACTGGTTTAGTTGAAAACTTGCAGCCACAGCAGCAACATCAACATGCTAGTCATCGCATTTCTCCTACAGTGCTTTATAACTACAGTCGTTGGTCAAGTATCCCCTAACTTGACCATTACACCCAGACCTCATGTAGTGACCACCAGTGACCAGTGTGCTTACACACTTACAGTTCCTGCACCAGACAAGACCTGTTCAGCAGAGGCGAGAGAGATAGCTGACCTTAAGGGACAAGTAAAGAAACAAGATATTGTTCTGCTGGCCATGCAGTCAACACTGCTCCGTGCAGAGCAGCAACTGTCAGACCTTCAGAAGGTTGGAATAATTATATCAAAACATATCAAAAGGGGCAGATATAGTTCTTTTCTTTTCACTTAAATTAATAAAAGACTTTTAAGATAAAATAAAAATGTTTTGGCAGGTCCTTAAACATGCCATACAATGCAATATTCAGTGTATTTTAAAATTTCTTTTGGTCAAAAATTGTGAAATAATTGTCAAATTTCCAATACTTTTCAAATGTCTCTTTTAGGCAGTACAAACAAAACATTTTGTGGGAAATGCATTCAGGTAAATAATTCTTTTTAACTTTTAGTCATACATATCATGTAAAATGTTCATTTCAGCAACTGGCAGCTCAGTATTCCACGATACAGAACCTTCAGACCATGAGCTCTCAGTTTCAGCAACAGATGTCCCAGAACATCAAGTTTCCAATTAAGAAAGAGTATAAAGGTAAGGTACAGAAAGTTTATTATTATAAACTATGATGAGCTTCTTATTAGATGAAGCAATGCAAATGGCTGGAAGATATATGAAAGTAAACAATGAAATGTAATTTAGAAAAAGCTCATCTTCAAAAATATTAAAAATCAAAATGACAAATCAAGTCAAAAAAATATCTAGCTAATATGGAAAAGACAGTGCAAATATTTGTCTATTCTTATTTTACAGATTGTTCTGAATACAGACTAGATGGCTATAAAGACACAGGTTTATATAACATCACACTGAGCCACGCCCTGTCCCAAATCACAGTGTGGTGTGACATGACCACTGACAATGGAGGATGGACGGTGGTACAAAGAAGACAAGATGGCTCTGTTTACTTCTTCAGAGAGTGGGAGGATTACAAGAACGGCTTTGGTAACATAGATGGAGAATTCTGGTTGGGGAATGAGGACATCCACTATCTGACCAATCAGAAAGATTACAGGCTGCGTGTTGATCTGTGGGATTTTGATGGAAATCATAAACATGCCGAGTATGATAACTTCAAGGTTGATGACGAAAAGGCAAAATACCTGTTGCATCTTGGGAAATACAATGGTACAGCTGGTGATGCTTTCAGTTACCATAACAACATGAAATTCACTACAAAGTACCAGGACAATGATAAACATAGTAGTAACTGTGCCCTAACATATACTAAATCTGGATTCTGGTGGAACAGCTGTGAACGATTTAATCCCAATGGTGTTTATCATTTTGATCCTAAATACAGCAATGGTGAGACTATACACTGGTATGATTGGAAACAGCGTTATGCCCTGAAGAAAGTAGAGATGAAAGTACGACCCATGCTTTTTCACAATTTCTAAATCTGTATAACCCCTTTAAACATGTGCTGTTCAAAATGTTTGTCACAATTTGCTGCTTTTAATGCATATTTACAGGTCAAAAGGAAAAATACTTAAATAATTTCAACTTTAGAATTTGCACTCAATTTTGGACCAACTTGTGTCACAGACCCTGGGGGGCACGTAATCAAACATAAGCTGCTGACCTCTGGACCACCAAGGTCATCCAGGCATGTGAATAAATCTGACAAAAGATAACCTTTTCTGTACGGTTTATCTATAAGGTTGACATAACAGAGAAGTGGTTTTCATGCTGAGTATGAAAACTTCAAGGTTGATGATGAAAAGGCAAAATACTTGTCCCCCCCTCCCCCTCTTCCCACTTTGAATTTCCCAATTTAAACATGCATAAATGCCATATGAAGCAAGACAAAATTTTTCACAACCCAAGTACTTTTGCACCCTCTGACAGAATGATTTAAAAAAAAAAAAAAAACATCAACACATCTTTGATTAAACATATAAAAAATTCTTTTATTTTTTTAAAGATTATGCTACTAAATGTATTGGGTAATAAGGTTTTTATGTCAATTCAGTATACCCCAGATAACCTTGTGAAATGTGAAATTTTGCGATATATTTGTTTACTAAATCTACCTAGTGTCCCCTATTGAGCCTGAAACATCCTACGAGACTGCAAAAGCAGAATTAGCTATCATATTCTAATTCTTAAATTAATTTAGGCAACAAATGCACTTAAAACTATTAACTAATGACACATTAATCTTTGATTTGTAAAATCTAATATAAAATAGACCTTAAATAAAATGTACCTCTTCTTTCTCCCTAAGCTGTGCAGTCAAGTCCCCAGACTCTCTGTAAGCTTGCTCTAACTTCTCTCCCAGGTCCTCAATCTCTCTCTGGTGGGACAGCTTCAGCTCAGCCATCTCAGACCTTAGGGAACTGATGCCTGATTCACCTTTCACCTAGAATAACATCAAGGTTACATTTAAACCGGTTAATGTTGTAATAACATTTCCAGGTCAATATTATAACAATAGTATCAGTTAAAGCTGATATGTGATAAAAAAATATGACATCAGTCATCATGCCATACTGCACTATTACATAAATGTTTTTGCTTTAAAGAAAAAAAAATTGCACAAAATAGAAATTTAAAATCATATCTACACTCTATTTCACAGAGATAAACAAGCACACACACACACACACACACACACACACACACACACACACACACACACCTACCTTATCATTAGCAGCCTCTGCCTCCAGTTTGGTGACGTGTGAGTGCTTCATTCTGAGCTCCTCTCTCAAGTGGTCAATCTCACTGTTCAGTGTGCTAATCTCCTCCAGGGATTTCTGCAGCTTCTCGGCAGCTTCTGCTTCTGAAAATAATGTGAATAAATTAAACATTACTTTAGGTAACTTCTCATTTTATTAACCTTTTTTCATTTTTTTATATTTTTTTAAACAGGAGGGTAAAATTATGTAGCACAAGAAAGGTTATATTTTTTGAAGTTTTTTTTTACCCCTACATAGTAAGCTACACTGCTTTGTAGTTTATATCTGAGAAATGAACCATGGGCCCTATCTACAGTACATATCTATCTTAAAACACCTGGTTTAGATAAAAATATTTTATAAAAAAATGCAATAATGATAACATGAAAATAGTTGGTTGATAAAAAATAATTCTGTGTCAAATTGATTTACCTTGTTGCTTATCCTTTTCATTGAGCAAATTTTCTTTTAACTGAAAATTATACAAAAACCTCATTCATCTCACATTTGATTATCCAAATCAGTTGTGTTACACAATGATGAAATCACAGTCAGTTGACTCTATACCTTCTATATTCAACTCAGAATAATGAGCTACCTGATCTCAACCCCAGAGAAAAAAAAAATCAAATGATATACAAAAGATATAGAATAAAGCTATAGAATATATTTTAGAATGTATTTTATGCCTTCTTTTTAAATCATAACTTAAAGTAAAATAATTATTGATGGACTTTACAATTTTTAGTTGCAAAAAGGTTATACATATTATTATTACTATTATAATTATTATTATACACGCACCTTAGCAGCAAGTTCCTTATTGTCCCCCTCTAGCTGGTGTGTGACTTCTTCCAACATGGCTACCCTCTCCTGCAACTCTGTTCTCCTCCTCTCAGCCTCTTCCTGGGTCCTTTTCCAAGATTCCAGTTCCGTGATCAGTTTGTTCTTCTCACTTGCCAGCTGATCTCTGTCACTTGTTAGGCGGTCAGAGTTGGATGTGGAGTCTCGAAGTTTCTGTTCCAAGATTTCTATTTTGGCCTCCATTTCCTGAAGAGTAGAATGAGAGATGTGGGATATTTATATTATATTTTTAGGTGGTTCCAAACATGATTCTTTATCATGAAAATGCTAAAAACATTTACCATTTATTAATTATGACCATCATAATAACAATTATCTGAAATTCCTGCAAATTTGCAATCTTTCAAAAACATCAAATAACTGAGATCATGCTTGGAGACTCAAATTGGCAAGATGCTGTCTTGAATTTTGCTCATCCACAATAATATCTTTTATGATATGGAAAATATATTTTGATAGCCTTTTTAAATGAATGAATGAGGTGAAATTAATAGCGTCAGGCATTAAAAGAGTGGTACTGACAAATAAATTAATAATTTTCTGAGGGGTTGGGGTATATCTATTGTATCAAATATTGGGCTGTCATGAATCAAAGCAATCTTTTACCCTGTTTGCTTGTTCCAGCTGTAGCTGCTTACTGGACATTTCCCCGGCCACACTGTCCTTGCTGGTCAGCTCTTTGGTCAGTCTGTCCTGGATGGACGTTGTCTCTGCTTTGGCCAGGGTCAACAACTAAGATGGTTACAAGAAAATGGGATTTTTAATGGGGTGGGGTGAGGGGTGAGTAAAATCTAATTAATACTATATTTTCAAACATTAAACACTGACTTGGATTTTTTTACATCTTTATCAGCCAATATTTCTTTCTCAAGACAATTCTTAAATTCTGAGTCATTTTTGATTGCTTTATACAAATATCAAAAAATTAAAAAAACAAAACAAATAGAGTGAGTGATAACCAGCTGTTTAGATGCAAATAAATGTTATCATTTCACCAATATCATAATAACCAATTACTTCTTTCTTTGCAGAGAATGATATACTAAAGACCCTTGTAAATACCTTTTCATAATTTTTTGTGGTATTTTTGACTTCATTTTGGGTTCTGGTCACCTCGTCTTCCAATGATTCCACCTTCAGTTCCATTGTTCTGAGCTGAACATAGGTTATAACAGGTTAATTAACAATACAATCAAAATATTTACCACAACGGTTACCAAATACAAAGCATAATTCTCATGACAGTATTAAAACTAGCTTAAAAGAAAATTGCTATTTAATTCATTAAAAAGTTCCAAACAGTTAAAAATATTTCCAACTGTGAATTTGCACTGACAATACTTGTACTAATATATCATTTAAGCATTTGAATATATAATATATATAATAAAATACACTGCGGTGTCAGGAGATACACTGAAAAAGTTCAACAAATAGCTGAACATTTTAAAAAATAAACCCTAGCTTGAATTTAGGAGTAATGAGTCTTCATATTTTGAAGATAAATACATAAATAGTTAATAACCTTTGTCTTGAGAGTGTCTTGCACTCTCTCCGCCTGTCGTTTCTGATCAGACAACATTTCTTCCGTGATAAGAAGTTTCTGTTCTGTCTCCACTTTTGATTGGTTGGCTTTGTTCAGGTTTAAAGTGGCGTTGGAGATTTCTTGCCTCAAACTCTTCAACTCATTTCGCTGGTCCTCCTTTTCTTTCCTGTGTCTAAAATTTCATGATCAAATAATGATAATAACACCACCAACAACAGCAACAACAATTAGAACAATCCTTGCTTGTAACTCCTAGCAAAATCATGAAAGTCATCCACCACACAAAAGATCCCAAATTACAAAGCCTAGATATAGGCACATTAATTCCAATAGGATCACTTACTCCTAAAGAGACTAAACTCTTTATTCTGTTTAAAGGTCACCGGGTTATCTGTCACGTTCCATATTTTGCTTTTTTTATCAAGGCTTTGGCAGAAGATACCAAATAAGAAAAAATTATGGGGGGGGGGGGGAGGCCTATGTAAAACACTAGCAACTGTGCCATCTTCAAACTGGCAAAGACAATTACACCATTGACAAATGTCAAAACTGCCAGCATTATTACAGGTTTCTGTTACTTTTAACTTAATCCAGTAACATCTTTTTTTTTTATTATTAGGCTATCATCTAGAAGTAGAAGAATAGATAAATACTGGTAGTCTATAATTTTTATACATCTGGCAAGCTCCAATATTGCATAGAATCTACAGTGCATTCAGTCTGACAATAATTAATTTTGGATACAGTTTTTACATTTGAATCATTGTACTCACTTTGCTTCTGTTTTTTTTACTGAGGTAGATAAAGTGCACTAAAACAGACAAAAATAAATCACAGTTAATGTTCTGGTAGACAATGCTTTGAAAAAAATTAACTGTGTATTTTGCAATATAAGCACATGTTAATAAATGCAGTTCAGAATAATCATATTTCATTTACAATGATGATAAGGAAAAAAAAAAAAAAAAAAAAAGAACAGAACAGATCAGACAACAAAAATCCCTTTCTCAATATACTCACATTTTCCATGGCAAGCTCGTTATTTTCCTTCTTGAGATTTTCCATATCTTTCTGAGCAGAATCCAACTTGATAGCCAAGGCGCTTTTCTCCACCTCTAGGTTCTGCTGTGTGATCTGTGAAAGGAAAAAAATGAAGAAACAAATTAAAAAATCTTAACGTATTTCAATGGGGATGTACTGTGGTCTGCTATTGTGGCCATAGTAGGAACAGCTGCTATCACTTTTACTTCTGTTGAATCCAAGTGCTTTGTCCCTAGTGCCCAAATATTAAGATTTCACAGTTTAATAACATCATGCCTCAGTTCAAAATAGAAGTCAAACCTTTTTTTTAATAGGTTTCACAACAAGACCAAACTAAAAACAAAATGGCAGTCTAACTGTCTCACCTGTAACTGTGAAATCTGTGTGCCTTGTGTGCTGACCTTGGCATTGAGCTCCAGCAGGCCGCACTCTTCACTGGCGGACTTGTTTGCCGTCTGCTGTCTCTCCTTGTCAAGATCCTCTGTCAGGATTCTTACCTTTAGAATAAAACCAAATGTTAGGCTGTTGTTAAAATTTATTTTTTTACTTAAAGGGATAACAGCTAAATTCAAAATTCCACAATAAATACATTGTAAACAACACACAGAAATATCACAAATTCCATTTTACCACCCAAATACCATCAAACCAGGTGGACCTTCATAGATGGCTACCCTCATTAATTTTTAGAGATCATTACAAAAACCACACTATTCTGAACACAGCCTTTGTGATTTCTTAAGTCATTTGGTTGTGAATTAACTCACTATATGTGCAGCCATCTGTCTTATAAATTTTTTTCAAGTATAATAAGCCGTTTTTACCTGATCACTCAACTGTGCCTTTTGGTCTTCTAAAATCTTCACTTTCCCTTTCATGGATAACATATCTCGCTCAAGTTTGCTCTTGTCTTGTTTTGCCTTCCAGAGTTCTTCTTCACTTCCAGACTTCGTTGGCAGGACTGAAATTGTGATAAGTGATATCAAGTCTTTTTTCTCACGTACATCCCACTAGTTTGTTAAAGTCCACAAAATGATGTTATAATGTAGACATTTGTAATAATGTAGTGGCATTTGAATGGGTTAAGCGGCAAAGATCTGTCTTCACATGTAACTTAAAAAGGATAGGTTGAGACAGAATACAAAATCTCGCACTCCAGGGAAGCATAATTAGTCTTCCATCATTGAAAGCTTTTATAAATCTTCAGCAGTAGAAGAGACTAACCCATACCTTCAGAGCTTTGTTTGGCCTTTTTCTCTGCTTGTGCTCGTAGTAGTTTTTCTTTGCCAAGTTCTCCTTTCAGTTTGAGTGTCTCTTTTTCCAGTTCTTTCACCTGAAACATGACAACAGTTTTAAAATTAAAATTACTTGCCAGGTTTCTAGGATTTTTTAAATCAAGTTTGTGTTATTGCTTATGCTGGCATTATGTACTGTGTGTGTGTGCGTGCGTGCATGCGTTTATGTGTGTGTGTGTGTGTTTGTGTGTGTGTGTGTGTGTGTGTGTGTGTGTGTGTGTGTGTGTGTGAACATGTGTGCATGCATGTATGCCTGAAACGAATACAAAATCTCTATTACCTCAATATAAACATAACATGCTCCTTTTAACCTCTCCCTCATCAACAACTGGCATTCCTCCTGGACCCCCCCTCCCCCTCCAACATCCCACCCCACCACCATCATCATCATCATCATCATCATCATCATCATCATCATCATCACCACCACCACCATCATCATCATCATCACCATCATCATCATCATCATCATCATCATCATCATCATCACCACCACCATCATCATCATCATCACCATCATCATCATCATCATCATCATCATCATCATCATCATCATCTCTTCAACTTGAAGAACCCTTTATCTTACACATAAACCCATACGATTTCTGCACAATCATACCCTTTCTCTGGCTTTTGTGATCTGTTCTTCAACCTTCCTTTTGTCAGCCTGCACTTTGCTCAGCTCCTGTTCCTGCACCGATCTCAGCTGCTCTTTGACTTGTTTCATGCTCTCTTGTTGCTGTCTGAGCTCTTCTTCGTGGTCGCGGCGCTCTTGTTCCAACATTTGTTGAAGCTGGGATTTGAAAAATGACAAGAAACTTGAATATTGTTAATGGTTTAAAATTTCTGGCATAAATAACATTAAAAGATAAAACAGCATTAACAAATTCCAAAGACCAAAATCATTATGTAAAATTCATAATATCAGTTTCATCTGCATATTTATTTTTTCTTTTTTTTTAAAACCATCTTTGGTCATGCAGACAAACAGTATTTATAATCTGCACGTCATGACTAAAAACTAACTTCCTAGTATTGATGATTATGTGACTTCGTATGGCACAAATGGGAGTCTTCATATTCTAGCTGTGCCAGTCATGGCAGAGGAAGCCTCACCTTGGACTGACTGACATTGAGGCCGTTATCCGGACCAATGCCACCACTGCTGTTGCGTTTACTCTGCTCAGCCTCAAGTTCATCCAGTAACCTTGCCCTCTCCACCAATAAGAAGGCAATCTGTTCACTGACAGAGCCCTGGGCTATGTCGTCCAGTCCCTGCTGGATCAACATCTCTCTCACCTCCTCATTCTGATGGGCTGTAAATATAGAGGCTGTGTAATAATAATAATAATAATAATAATAATAATAATAATAATAATAATAATAATAAACAATTTATAGACTTTTTTTACCAAATATGAATAAAACAGCTTACTAAAATTTTTTTGATCATCTTTTAAACACACATGCACTAACAGTTTATTTGGAGAAACGCATTTTTCTACTTTAAAAATTGCTAAGATTCATTAATATCTATTTTCAATTTTTTTTTCGTTTTTCTGCTTTTTTTCTTTTTTGGTTGTTGTTGTTGCTTTGTTTTGTTTTCCACTGGTATAAAGAGATGACTAAACTTTAAAGAGGTAAAAATACATTGTAGAGGAATAAAAATATCTTGGAATGGCCCATTACTAACTTTCTAGCTCCTGTTTTAGATGCTCAATCTCGGCTTTTAGTTGCTCATTCTCATTTTCAAGCCCCGTTGTCAGGGACATTCTCTCCTCGGAGAGGCTCCGTATGTGCTCCACATAGTTCTCCACCTCTTTCATCTCATCTTCCTGCTGCTTACGGAGCTGTTCCACATTTTCCTGGGCAGTTTTTAGCTTGGCCTAAAAATGGAAGTAATCATTTGTTACAGGGCTGTCATTGAAACAGGAACACATTTATAGATCTAATTTGTTTGGTTTTTTGAAATTTTAAATGGTTTTAGTGAATATTTTAAGGCAATTGGGGGGGGGGGGGAGTATATCTCCTGAATAGAGGCTATTCACCCAGCTAGCCTCATTCCCTGATGAACATGTTCTGTTAGACATCGAAATATTGGAGGTAAATTATTTCGAACTAAAGCTGTTGATTAATAATTGTTAATTGTTTTACACTATAAGGCTGTATTTTTCTTATAGATTATTATTATAATCATCATAACAGGATTTTTCCATAAATGCTAAAACAAAACCAATTTTTTAAAAATTTTCAAAAACAACATTTATTTGTGACACCACCAAATCATACCAGATAAAATTATTTGAAGTGGCTTGGGAATGATTTTGAAAGATGATGAGAAAACTGAAGCAAGAATTTTTCTTTTATAATAATATTTAGTACTTACAAAATGTAACAGCATTAGAGTCAGTACAAAAGCCCTTAAAAATTGAGCTGCTGCAGTAAAAAGGAAGCACAGACAGTACACTGAAGAAAAGTGAAGCAAAAAAAAATCTGATAACACATAACAAAAGTGCCAGACAAACCTCTGATTCCAGATACAGCTTCCAAAGATGAGTGACCTTCTCTGTGTCCGTACACTGTGGGTCAAAACCATTGCTGACCAGTTTCTGCTGGACGTCCAACAAGTCCTGGCCACTCTGAAGAGAAGGTTATGATTTTTTTTATTCATTCACAGGCCTATGGGCAAAAATGGCATTTTCATCTGGGTAAAAATGGCCTCTTTAAATCAATATGTAAGTTTTATATGTATGCCATTTAATATAAAACTGTACTTTTCAAAGGACATAAGGTTCACTTTTTAGAAAAAGGAAACCCTCTTTCCAAATTGCTGGGTGCAGCCTTGATTTATTGTATAAGAGTGGACAACTCCAGTCTACATGTAGATTGATTTTAATTTATTCATTCATTAAAAATAATTTTGCAATCAGTAAAAGAAAAACAGGTGGTTGCAAAATATAAAATATAACATAGAAATACTACACACTGTTGCACTACTTCGTTTTACGTAACAGATGTAGCTTCTACTTGAAAATATTTATATATACAGGGGCGGATCCAGAGCTATATACTGACAGTCTTCCAAATTATCTTTGTTGATTCATCCTCCAATTTTGACCGTCTTCCAACATTAAAAATTGGATACCCGTCAATGTAAACTTGAAAATCTGACCGTCTTCTGGAAGACCCAGAAGACGGCCTAAATCCGCCCCTGATATAGACTAGTCCTGTAGATCCACTTTTGAAATGTGTAGTGTCAAGTGTCAAACGCCGAACCTTGTCCGTAGGGAACTTACCATGATGCCACCCTGTTTATCCACCATTTTGATGCCTTCAGCTGCAAATCATCAACAATTTGCAACTGTTTTGAGAATGTGCAGCATCAATGAAGGCTGCACGAGCAATGTGATTAAAAATCGCCGATATTTTTATCTGCATCCCACTTGACCTCATTCTCGGCGGCCATTTTCAAACTATCCTTGTTTACAACTGAACGACCAAGCTATCACTCCGCTTGAAGTATTCATAACTCTCAAATCTTCACACAAGTGAGTTTGTACAGAAAATATGGCATAAAACGATGATAAAATATAGTTATACTTAACTTTATCAGGTAGAACTGGTCAAAATATTGCGTTAATTTTTGATCTATTTATTTATGCTTCACAACTTCCGGTCACCTGCTTGGTGAGATGGTGTACTTCCTAAATGGATGAATGAAAGGTATTTGTTTGTAGTTTCACGAGTTTAAGGAGTTGCCTTTTGTGGAATTTAAATGCTTTTGTTGGTTTGATTCCCATGTTGAAATCATTATTCACTAAAATCTTATATACAAAACGTGTAGTTTAAAATTGAACGTTCTGATGAAGTTTTGTACCAAACGCCAACGATGAAAGCAAAGTTGCCAAAGACACTTTGAAGTTTGATGATATCATAGTGATATGGTCACGGTTGTACTATCAGTAATGTCAGCCAAAATAATATCTTTGACATTAGGTTAACAGGTAAATGCTGGTGCAATGACAGATTTTAATTGGTAAATGGTTGAATAAGTTGCCTTAAAATAGAATATAATCAGTAATTGATACGACTGCTTCTGTGTGTTTTCTTTTTCTTTTTTTCTGAAATTATTTACTAGTATTGACATGAATTAAGAATCGCAGCTCAAAATACCAGGTATACTATAGTACTCCAACTAATGGTGAAACCATTGATTTAGGATAATTATTTAGAACAACACAGTATAATCAAATATGGTTTATTTTCTTTCAGAATTGTAAGGAGGACAAGCAGAATTGGGGATGTGTCTCCCCAGGATGTCATAATTGTGAAAAGTAATTTTAGAAAGAAGTTATTATTTTTTGCAGTGACATAAAGCATCTATCCAGATGAAGAACAGCAAAGTAGAATTTCATATCCCTTGAAATTGTCACATGCAAACCCAAAGGAAAGAATCACAAACCTTTGTAAATGTAGCTATTTTCAATATAAGTATAAGAGTGTCATTGAGGCGTTAAGACTGATGTGTATAGAAAATATGCAAGATTTATGTATTAACTATTTTGTCAGTATTGGCCATCAGTATTTTAAAAAGTCAGTATATTTAAACTATGCAGCAACCACTATCAATGAACAGCACTTTTGAAAGTTAATGTTATTTGCACAGAACAGAATCATAAGAAAGGATTTTACAAAATTTGCATTGAAAAACTTAATGGTGGAGAGACATTCTTAAAAAGATGATAAAAATTGCCTGTGGAAGATATGCCAGAATGTGACAGGTGACATAAAGGTACCCCTTTATTCAAGTTCCTTAAAGGATTTGAATGAAATTTTAATCCCTGGATAGTCCTTATGAAGTTGTTAGAATTTCTAGAAGAAGGAATAATGTCTGGAGGAATCTTCTATCCTGGTGAAAATCTCGACTCTATGGATGAGTCGAAAAGAAACCCCTTGCTCTGTTATCTATGCAATGAACACTATGAGGATCCTTGCCTTCTGAAATGTTTCCACTCTTTCTGTGCAAAATGTCTACGTGGTCGAGGAGCGGAGGGGAAAATGAAATGTCCATTGTGTGGGTAAGGCGATAACTTATAATTACTTATATTAGATGTGATCTACAGTAATGCCTCGGTCTTCTCATTGGGGAAACAAATTATCAATCTTTCAGAAACCTATTTTTTAAATCATTAAAAATAATACTATGTATATGGCATTTTTGGGTCTTCTGTTGTATAGAATAGGACTATAGGGTGCCACGTATGTTATCCAGCTTTTGAATTTTGCTGCTGTCACTCAATAGAAATGTCCCTATAATAATTTTGAGAATGTCAATGTTCCATTGTTGAGATAATTGTGTAGAATAGTATGACTTATCGGTATCTTTAATTCTCCTAGGTAAAACATTTTTCTTTACAATGTTGTTTCTGTAACAGTGCCAGTATTTAAAAATAACCAGTGAGGAAACATTTTTCTTTGCAGTATTGATACCATACTAAAAGATGACCAATCACTGCCAGCCTCAGATTCACTGCTGAAATTCCTGGTCGAGTCTTCCTCTGAGGACAGAGCTCAGTGTGCAAACTGTGATGCTGTAAGTTTACCGATATTCCTTTAACCAAACACCATCTGGTCATGTAGCTTGAATAATATATCATCTTAAAATAAAGTTGTTCACTGTCTTATAGTATAATTAGCCTCATCTTCTCATCTTCACAAAAAGAGAACGAACATGAAGGAAAAGCCAGTCTGAAGGTGTATATTTTAACAGTAATTTCTGCAATAATTCTGTGTATAAAACACTATATTAAGACACAAACTGTACACAAAAGTCAAAATGTTATGACAAGAATAATATACTCAAATGTGTAAATAAAACTGTTTCCTTATTCTTCAAAGTCTGTCATGCACTTTGTCTAGGTAGGGATAGAAAGGTGGTGAGATTTCATTAATTTTGCTGCCTGTAATAATCTCTGTTTAATATTCTACAACCTGAAGAGAAAGGCTGTTCCAAGGAGGGTCGACCTTTCTTCAGTGTAAACACGCCTTTAGAATTCTGTGTCTCTATTCCCAGTGTTCCACCCAAATGTTTTACTGCAACACCTGCTGTCAGCCTCTGTGCGAGGAGTGCCGGGAGGAGACCCACAGGGCGCGCATGTTCTCCTGTCACGAGATTGTCCCCATGACAAAACGGACTAAAGACATCCACAAAAGATGTGGTAAGGTCATGACACTGAGCTTCAGTGAGCTTACAAGAACTCAAGTTTGCCGTCTTAAGTCCTAACTTCTGCAGCAAAAAAAAAAAGAAAAAAATGAAAAGTAAATTAAGTTAGTAAACACCATTTTATCCGGCATACTATAGAGAAATATTATTTGTTAGTTTTGTTTGACTTTATTTTTGTGTAGCATTTGTGTTCCTTCTACCGTATAGAACAGAACTACAAGGTACCCTGAGTTCAGTTTTGTGGCTGCCACTCAATAGGAATGTTCCAATTTCAAGAATTTATGACTGAAAAATAATACAATGTATGTAAATTTCACAATTTTCTCCCATTGAAAATATTGAGTAATTACTGTACTTACTGCCATTATCTGACTCGTCCACATCTCCTGTGAAGTGGATCAAGAGCTGTTTTTATTCTCTGTCTCTCAGTCAAATGAATATATCCTTCTTTTCTTTCACAGCCTTACACAGTGAACCCTACATCATGTTCTCAACAGACACAAAAGCAATGCTGTGCATCAACTGTTTCAGGGACATGACCACGTGAGTTGTATTTTTTTAAAACCCATTTAGAATATGTTTATGTATATGTGAAGGTTACATAACACATCAAGGTACAAAATTGAATAGATCACTTTGATGTAATTATATTGCATGTTCAAGCACACATGCACATACTTAATCAAGATAATACAAATTTTGTAATAAAAAATTAATACAAGTATCAAAAAAATTGATGCTGTTAATGATGCAAGAGATGTAAGATTTTTAGATGGAATATCATTTCTTAAACCGGACCAGAGTCAGTTTTAAGTGATTGTCTTAGGGTCCAAGAAGGTTCAGGTGGACATAAAAGTTAATAATTCTTGACATTTTAATATTTTGTTTTTAAAAGTTGATCAGGAAGATAAAGGTGTAAAGAGAACCAGGAAAAAGGCGTTTGACAGATGACATGTTTCTGACTGTTGGTGGATTTTCATCTTTTTTGGGAACCAAAAATATCATTGGCCTAGGAAGCCCCCTGGACCCTGCGGCATATTTTCTGACTTTTTCACTAAATGGCAGTCTCATCCCTGATATAAGGGTTCTTCTGGAGTGTCAGATTGCTATAATAATATTTTTCCATTTCAATTATTTTTTTCAGAGAGAGCAGGTCATATTGTATAGACATAGAAACTGCTCACAATCAGGGATGTAAGAAACTGGATGAGTCTGTCCAGGTAAATTTCTTTTAATTTAAGTTTTTTTTTTTGTTCATTTGATAATCTCCTCATTTATTTATTTGTTTGTTTGCCTGCTTGTTTGTTTGTTTTAATATAAAGGCATTAGATTTAAAAGTTTAATATGTATTTATTTGTTGCAGTAGATCTTTGTGTATGTTTGACATAAAATTATCAAGTAATTCAAATCTTATCCTCTTTTTTTAAATTTTTTTTACAAGGAACACTTAAGCAAACAAAGCAAAAAGATGAAAAAAACTTCTGTAGTATTACTTCACATTATTTTAGGCATTGTTTGTAACAAACACTATATGGAGAACATTGCAAATAGAAGTCAATGGCATCTTACCAATCTTTTTAGACAATACGTGAATTGCAAAGCTCAGTTCAAGACGGCATAATACTTATGAGAGCCCTGATAGAAGAGATCAAGGCAAATCTTGAAAGAGAAAAAGATTCCATCAAAGACCTTTATTCAGCCATGCAGGAGAAAATTGGAGAAACAAAAGAGATT